AATGCCTCTATTTACCCCGAAGCATAAAAAGAAAAAAAAAAATTCTAGTGCTGTTGATTATATGGTAATTAGCTTAATGAGTTTAAATGATAATGAGCTCAAAACTATATGGTAGAGAGAGGAAGATCTGGGCTACAAAATGAGATATTTTTGAACTAATTATCTCTTAAGCTTAATTAACCAGCAATTGTACATTAAAACTTCATGTATTTGAATGGAGTGCCTCTATTTACCCCAACCGTATAAGTGAAGTGCCTCTAATTACCTCGTACGGGGTAATTGGAGGCACTTTGATGGAGCTCTTCGCATTTTGGATCTGGCTCAAAATTGGTCGGAGTTTTTGAAAAGACTTTTACATGAGCGTGTAGAAAAATGTTTGGTCTGCCATCATGTTTCGAGCTTTTGTATTTGTCCAGCAAACAATGTTTTAGAGGTCATCTAAAACATTGTTTGCTGGACAAATTTCTTCTCTACACTTTGCTCTTTCAAACAAAGAGATCTTCAAAGTGAGCCGACGCTCCGCTTATTCGTTCTATGAGTGAAAGTGATGTTAAGAAATATATTTCTTCAACAATCTTTGCTCTTTCGAGTACGAAGTTTGACATTACTGGAGCTAAGCCTGTCAAGACGGACAATATTCTTTTAAAATTAGATCAAAACAAAGCGTGTAGCTCACCTATAACTGCTCATATAGCTAAAGAAGGATCTATTGTTTTAAGTGAATGTTTAGTAAATGTTTGTAACCAATCTTTTCCTGAGTTGGTATTTCCATCCGCTTTCAAGGTTGGCTATATAAATAGTTTATTTAGAGATGGCCATCCTTGTATACCTAAGAATTATCGTCCTATTTGCATTTTGGCAGTTTTTCAAAGGTAATTGAACTCTTAATGCATAAACAGTTGTATGAATACCTTACAACAAATAATTTATTAACAACTCTTCAGTCTGATCTTAGACACAAAGATCCGACAATAAAACAGTTGGCCCACAGGTCCTGTCTCATTCAGTATTTTCTCAATATCTCGGTCAAGGTTGATCGCCAAGTCTCAATATTTTTATAAAAAATACCTCAGTCAATTCTGTACACAAAACACGTTAAATATTTCGTTATATACTACAAGAATAAAAGAACTTAGAGAAAGTACGGGAAAGCTTCAATATCGATTACTTTCAAACCCAAATCCCAACCAAAAAATATTTATTTGGGAATCAAAATCAAAATGTAGTTTTTGGTGCTCCAGAATATCAGCTGTCTTTCCTTTTATCATAAGTTCGCTATAGATCTTAAAAAAGAAAAAGAAAAGGGAAAAATACAAAGAAAACGGAAAATTTGATTTCTTCACCTTGCACAAGGAATGAAACGGGGCTAATCAACTGTCTCTGTTTGGATGTAACAGAAGAATTATTTTGCTTTAAGATAAATTTCTAAGTGCCTCAAAACTGCCGTTATAAAATGATGATTTTGGGCAAAGTCACTAAAAGAAAAAAAATACTTGAACGACCGCTTGAGCCTATGAAGAGTGTTAAAATACCTCATTGACAGAGCTTTTCGAGAAATACAAAATGTCCATTTTCTTTTTTTCGTATTGCAAAATATGCGGGACTGAAATTGAAAAACCTGTTTTTTCGGTTCGAAAGTAATGGATATTCAAGCTTTTCCGTATTTTCTCTATATTCTTTTACTCTTGTAGTATAGGAAGATTTGTTCAATGTGTTTTGTGTACAGAACTGAATGAGGTTTCTTTTTACAAAAAATAACATGCCTCCAAGGCTTCTCTGTCGAATGGAGAAAATCGGAGCTCTCTACCTCTTTTCTATCAAAAGTTATTATTGAACTAATAGCACAAGTCCGCCTGCTCTAGCCAAAATTGCTGCGAACATGTCTACAGATCTCCATAGAGCGTATAGTTTTAGACACAACTATAGTGATCGGCGAACCGAAAGATGCTATCGCGTGACTACACTACAGAAGCATCGCGCTATGTTTTCATAATTCATTTTCATCGAGCGTATCGTGTGTCTGATGAAGGTCAGTGCATTTTGTTAATGGCGCATTTTGTTCAGAATTCAGTACTCTCTAAAACTACATGTGACTTGGTCGGTAAATGTGCGTTTTTCGAGAGACAGACCCCGTCAAGATCCTCCTTAGGGT